GTAGTGCTGCTGGTAGCAGTCGTGGTGTTGCTGCTGGTCGCGGTCGAGGTGGTGCTGCTGCTGCTCGTGGTGGTGGTGCTGCTGGTCGCAGTCGTGGTGGTGCTGCTGGTCGCAGTCGTGGTATTGCTGGTTGGGCTGGTGGTGCTGGTCGTGGTGGTGGTGCTGGTCGCAGTCTCGGTGCTGCTGCTCCCGGTTGCGGTCGTGGCGCTGCTGGTCGCAGTCGTGGTGCTGCTGGTCGTGGTCGTGGTAGTGCTGCGGGTCGCAGTCGTGGTGGTGGTACTGCTGGTCGTTGTCGTGGTGGTGCTGCTGCTGGTCGCAGTCGTGGTGGTGCTGCTTGTGCTGGTGGTGCTGGTGGCGCTGCTGGTCGTGGTGGTGGTGGTGGTGCTGCTGGTCGCAGTCGTGGTGGTGCTGCTGCTGGTCGCAGTCGTGGGGCTGTTGGTCGCAGTCGCGGGGCTGCTGGTCGCCGTCGTGCTGGTGCTGGTGGTGCTACTGGTCGCGGTGGTGCTGCTGGTTTCTGTGGCGCTGCTGCTGGTCGCAGTCGTGGTGGTGCTGGTCGTAGTGGTGGTGGTGCTGCTGGTCGCAGTCGTGGTAGTGCTGGTTGTGCTGGTGGTGCTGGTCGTGGTGGTGCTGCTGGTCGTACTCTCGGTGCTGCTGCTCCCGGTTGCAGTCGTCGTGCTGCTGGTCGCTGTCGTGGTGCTGCTGGTCGTGGTCGTGGTCGTGGTGGTGCTGCGGGTCGCAGTCGTGGTGCTGGTGCTGCTGGTCGCAGTCGTGGTGGTGCTGTTTGTGCTGGTGGTGCTGGTCTTGGTGGTGGTGCTGCTGCTGCTGGTCGCAGTCGTGGTGGTGCTGCTGCTGGTCGCAGTCGTGGTGTTGCTGGTCGCAGTATTGGTGCTGCTGGTCGCAGTCGTGGTGGTGCTGCGGGTTGAAGTCGTGGTGGTTGTGCTGGTAGTGGTTCTGCTGCTGGTCGCAGTCGTGGCGCTGCTGGTCGCAGTCGTGGTGCTGCTGGTCGCAGTCGTGTTGGTGCTGCTGGTCGCGGTCGTGGTGGTGCTGCTGGTCGTGGTGGTGCTGCTGCTGGTCGCAGTCGTGGTCTTGCTAGTCGTAGTCGTGGTGGTGCTGCTGGTCGCCGTCGTGGTGGTGCTGGTTGTGCTGGTGGTGCTGGTGGTGCTGTTGGCCGTGGTGGTGGAGCTGCTGGTGGCAGTCGTGGTGGTGCTGCTGCTGGTCGTGGTCGTGGTGTTGCTGGTGGCAGTCGTAGTGCTGCTGGTAGCAGTCGTGGTGGTGCTGCTGGTCGCGGTCGAGGTGGTGCTGCTGCTGGTCGTGGTGGTGCTGCTGCTGGTCGCAGTCGTGGCGGTGCTGGTTATAGTCGTGGTGTTGATGCTGGTCACAGTCGTGGTATTGCTGGTTGTGCTGGTTGTGCTGGTCGTGGTGGTGCTGTTGGTCGCAGTCTCGGTGCTGCTGCTCCGGTTGCGGTCGTGGGGCTGCTGGTCGCAGTCGTGGTGCTGCTGGTCGTGGTCGTGGTGGTGCTGCGGGTCGCAGTCGTGGTGGTGGTACTGCTGGTCGTTGTCGTGGTGGTGCTGCTGCTGGTCGCAGTCGTGGCGCTGCTGGTCGCAGTCGTGGTGCTGTTGGTCGCAGTCGCGGGGCTGCTGGTCGCCGTCGTGCTGGTGCTGGTGGTGTCACTGGTCGTGGTGGTGCTGCTGGTTTCTGTGGCGCTGCTGCTGGTCGCAGTCGTGGTGGTGCTGGTCGTAGTGGTGGTGGTGCTGCTGGTCGCAGTCGTGGTAGTGCTGGTTGTGCTGGTGGTGCTGGTCGTGGTGGTGCTGCTGGTCGTAGTCTCGGTGCTGCTGCTCCCGGTTGCAGTCGTGGTGCTGCTGGTCGCTGTCGTGGTGCTGCTGGTCGTGGTCGTGGTCGTGGTGGTGCTGCGGGTCGCAGTCGTGGTGGTGGTGCTGCTGGTTGCTGCTGCTGGTCGCAGTCGTGGCGCTGCTGGTCGCAGTCGTGGCGCTGCTGGTCGCAGTCGTGGGGCTGCTGGTCGCCGTCGTGCTGGTGCTGGTGGTGCTACTGGTCGTGGTGGTGGTGCTGCTGGTCGTTGTGGTGCTGCTGCTGGTTGCAGTCGTGGTGGTGGTGCTGGTCGTAGTCGTGGTGCTGCTGCTGGTCGCAGTCGTGGTGGTGCTGCTTGTGCTGGTGGTGCTGGTGGTGCTGCTGGTCGTGGTGGTGGTGGTGGTGCTGCTGGTCGTAGTCGTGGTGGTGCTGCTGCTGGTCGCAGTCGTGGTGCTGCTGGTCGCAGTCGTGGTGCTCCTGGTCGTGGTCGTGGTGGTGCTGCGGGTCGCTGTCGTGGTGGTGGTGCTGGTGGTGGTTCTGCTGCGGGCCGCAGTCGAGGCGGTGGTGCTGCTGGTCGCCGTTGTGGTGGTGGTGGTGCTGCTGGTCTCCTCGTGGTGCCCGCTGCCGTGTCGGGGGTGCTCCCGGCGCTCGTCAGAGCCCCCCGTGGCGGCCGTGCTGGCCGCGGTGTCGAGCGTCAGGGACGTGCTGGCAGGCGGCTAGCGGGTGGGCCGGCGGAGTCTGCGAGCAGCACTTCGGCCAGGTCCGGGTCGCCCCCCCCGGCGGCTCTCCCCCAGGCTAGGTAGCCGTCGCCCGTCAGGGTGGCCATGAGCGCGTCCTGGGCCGCGACGCTCAAGAACCCCCACCAGCGGTTGGTGCACGCGAGCTCCGCGGAGCGGCGGGGGAGGGCCGGCGCGGCCCGCGCCTTCTGCTTGGCAAGCAGGCCTACCAGCTAGAGGGAGTCGCGGCCCCACCTGCCTCCGACCTCGCAGGAGAGGACCATGAGGCGGCCTGATTGGCTGGTCGTGAGTTCGTGGTACCTGCGTCGTTTGCGCCTTTCGGCCACAAGTAGCGCGGCGCCGTCGGTGTCGAAGGTGCGCGGCCGGTGCCGGCCGTCCCTGCGGAGGGGGGGCACCATGGTGCTGTCGCAGCACAGCGGGGCGCCGTTCGGCAAAATGCCGTAGACGACTAAGTCTAATTGTCTGCGGCCCAGCGGGTTGTGGACAACGGCGTTAGTGTCCCGCAGCAGCTGTTGGGGGACAACTCTCCCTCCTGCTTCTCTGGCGACCCTCGCCCAAGCTCGTCCGAGCGGTTTCGCGCGTCTGGCGAAAAGCCCAGTGCGTGGGCACGCGGCTAGGTGGTCTCCCAGCGGGTCCAGCGGGCCCGGCAGCCTGGGCGGCCGGCTGCCCCGCACGCGTGCGGGAGGAGCGGCAGCGGGGGCCTGAGGCGCCGGCGCAGGGCTGCCAGGAACCGCGCGGGCTTGAACTCGCGCCCCTCGGCGGTGGGTACGGTGTGTAGCCAGTAGGCGGCCCGCGGTCCTGAGCCTGACCTTCGCATGGCCTGGTTGGCCATGGTGAGGCTGGGCATGAACACGTTGCCCCTGTAGTGGGTGCTGCGTGCGGAATAAGCGTGGAACTGCCAGCCGTGCTGCCATTCTCCCGGTTCGGCGGCCTCCGAGCGCGGCGGCGCTTCTGGGCGCAGCCCCTGGAGCAGGTCGGTCCAGAAAGATCTCCGGAAGCCTTCGGTTTCGAACAGCTGCGCGGCCGCGGCGGCTGCGGCAAGGTTGCCCCTACGGCCGGGCCTGGTGCCGTCGAGGGAATCCCTGATCGCTGCAGCTTCAACAGGGCGCCGTTGGTGGAGCATGTGTAGGGCGTCTGCCCAAGCGCCCCAGTAGGCCGCCGGGGACGTGCGCGTCGCCCAGGCATTGCTGCCAGTGCGCGCGCCCGTTGCTCTTCGTCCTGCGACATTGCGGGGTCCCCGAGGAGGCGGCGCAGGGTGGCCCACATGTCGCCGTCGTGGCCTCTCGCGTATTCTGCGATTTCCTCTGGCGGCAGTGTTCGCAGCAGGTGGTTGGCCCGCGGGGAGGCGCAGAGGAGGAGGAGCCAATCGCATTGTAGGTCGGGCAGGTGCGCCAGTTCGTCCAGGAGTCTCCTCTCTTCCTGTAGTCTGCTCTCCAGGTGTGCGGCGACGAATTCTGGGGGGCCTAGGGGGGGCCTAGGATCTTGATCCCTCGGTCGGGTGGCGCTCTGTCGCCACTCCAGACGTCTTGTCCCAGCTCGCCGATTCCGGGCGGTGCTGCGCCTCCGCCCCTGCTGTAAGCCCGGCACTTGTCAAGGTGGCAATCCACGTTTGCGTGAAGGTGAATTGCTCCGGTGGCGGTGTCCAAAGCGGCTCTGGCCCTGGCCCGGGTGGCGTTGATGTACACGTCGTCCAAGAAAGCGACCAGGAAGCCCCCTTGCTCGAGGGTCCTGGAGGCGCCCGCCAGCGCTCCGTGCAGGGCAAGAGCAAAGAGGGCTGGGGCCAGCGCGTCCCCCTGCTCCACCCCCTCTCCCTGGTGCACGTCGTGCACAATCCCCATTTCGTCTTGCCAGAGGTAGGTGGAGTCTTGCCCGTGCCACATCTTCACGAAGGGGATTGAGCCAGCCAGCTCAGGGCGAGCAAAGAGCTCCTGGAAAAAGGCCGACCTGCTCGACACATGGTCGAAAGCCCCGACTCCATCGATGCTGACAATCACTGCGTCGTCGTTGTGGTCCAGCACTGACCTCAGCAGCATGGCGGCGCAGTCGGTTCCTGCCCGCGTCGTCAGGGCGAACTGGAAGAGCGCGGTTGCGGCCGCGAGCTGCTCGGCGAACTGTTGAGCGAGCGCCCTGGTGACCAGTCGACGGAAAACGTCGCCGGCGGCGATGCCCCGTGCTCCGTTGTCTGGTTTCTGGAGCGCCGTCATCTTGCAGAGGGCTAGAGCGCGGGCAATCGAGGAGGGCACCCGCGCCTCCGCGAGGGCAGCGGCGGCGAATCCAAGCAGGCCCATGGGCTCTTCGTGTTCCAGCAGCGGCTTGAGGTGCTCAACGCGGACCCCAGACGGTCCTGCTGCCGTGCCCTTTTTGGCGGACCGGAGGCAAGCGAGGAATTTGGTCTTGTCGCGTCTCGCTGTCGGTTGCGCGGTCTGGGTTGGCGAGTAATCGGCGGCGCAGGGTGGGCGGTCGGCGGGCTTGGCCCCGCAGCCTGTTAAGTGTCTCCCCGTTGCTGGGCGCAGTCGCCGCCGCGGTCAAGACCTGTCTCCCCCGTGACGGGCTGCCGTTTCGGACGTGCGCGCAAGCCTGTTCTCTGCGTCGCTCCTGCTGTTGCTCCTCTGTGGCTGACCTCGGCGCTGCGCGCGCTGGTCGTGGTGTTGGCCTCGTGTAGCAGGGCCAGCCAGTCGCCCTGGCGGAAGCGTTGGGCGCGTTCCAAGAGCTCTTGTCGGCCCTCGGCGTCGGCACCCTTGGGCTTGCTTAGCAGGAGCCTCGAGGCGAGGAGGAACAGTGTCCATCCTTGGTGGGTTGTTGCCTGGTTGCCCTGGTCGTGTCCTCGTTTGATCCTCTTCAGGGCCGCGGTGAACGCCATCCGGGTCTCCGCGCGCAGGGAACGCGGCACGTTCTGTAGTGTCGGCACGAATCTTCGTAGCTCTTGTTGGAGGTCGATGCCCCCGAGAGCTGCCCAGGACTCTTCGGCGGGTCCGTTGCTCGGGGCTGGGGCCTGCGCTGGCTCGGCCTCGTGGTCAGTCTCCTCGGTGCTGGACTTGCTGTCGCCGTCGTTGGCGTCTCCATCCTCTGCGCCCGTGTTTCCGCCCTCGCTGCCGCTGCTCGGGCTTCCTCCTCCCCCTCGGATCCTCCGCCGCCTCGGCCTCTTCTGGCGCCTCTTCCTCGTCTGCTTTCTCTGGCGCCTCTTCCGCTTCTGTCTCTGGGGGCGCCTCTGCCCGCCACGGCGGCGGGGCCGTTCGCGCGCTGGTCTCCGGGCAGCTCCGGCCCCTGGGGCGCCTCTGGCGGTGGGAGCGGCGGCGGAGGCGCCGCATCTGCCCAGAGAGCTGGGTTGCGCAGCTCGTTTGTGCGCGCGTCAACTCCTCGTGCAAGCGCGCCGCCGCCGAATGCTTCGAGGAGGAGGTCTTGCACCAGCGGCTGCATGTAGCCGGTGATGCTGTGCGCCGCGGCCTGGGCGACTGGCGCAAAGGATACGCACCCTGGGCGCTCTCCCCCGTCTGCAGCAAGCACCGCTGGTACTTCCCCGGGCCGGGCGTCGGTGTGCGCCAGCATTTCGACAAAGGGCCCTGTCAACACGGATTCCGCAAGCCGCAGCGTCTCTACCGTCGGCTGCCACCAGGCCTGTGTGAGGCGGTGCTCACTCCACTGCGCCCCTTCGCTTGGGTCTAAAAGCCCGGCGGCCGCCAGCAGCAGGGGCGCGTGCACTGCCGAGTTGGTGCGTGCCTGGAGGGGCGCTTGCGGTGGGGCCCAGCCGGCAAAAGGGCTGTGTTGTGGCGGCCTGGCCGCGGCTCGCTCTGGCCCTGGTGGGGGGGCTGGTGGTGGCGGCTCTGGCCCTGGCGGGGCTGGTGGTGGGGCAGTAGGCACTTCTCTGGTCCATGCGTCTGGCTCGCACAAACCGCACCTCCATTCGCCTTCGGCCGTGCTGGCTTCCGCGGCCCACGTGCCCAGCTCTAGTCACCTCGCGCACATCTGTTGGCCGCCCTGTGGCGCGATCGTGTCGACAGCGCAGCGCGCCCCGCAGCGTGGGCAAAGCCGTGAGTCTAGCCACTGCGTGATCCTCCCGTTGGTGTCTCGTGCTGCGATCTCCGGGTGCCATTTCATGCGGCGGTCTGGCACTTCGAAGAATTCGGGCGGCGGGCCGAGAAGTCGGCAGCAGAGCGCTCGGAGCAGCAGTGGCTCCCGTGGTGGTGGTTCTTCGCCTCGCGCTAGCTCCGAAACCCATTTCATTTCATTCCATTTCATACCGCGGCGACGGGGGCCGGAGCACCGCGCGACCGCGCGCGCCGCTCCAGCGCGCCCCCCCGCGCGCGGCCCGCTCAGGTCGCAGCCGCCCCTGCGCTCCCGGGGCAGGGCCGCGGGGCCGACCCCGTCTCGGGAAGGGTCTTTCACCCCCGTCGTGGGTCGGCCCAGGCGCCACCGCGGGCAACGGCGCCCTGGCCTCGCGGCCAGTGCGACCCCTCCCCGACCGGCACCTCAGAGGGCGAAAAGGGAGGGGCGGCGCAGCGGGCGGCGAGGTGCAAGGGGGGGGCAGAGTTCGCTACTCCCCCTCCCCGGCCGCTCGCGGCACGGGGACGGGCAGCAGCCAGGAGGCCGCGCGAGCGGTCGAAAGAGGAAAAGAAAAAGGGGGGGCGAGGCACCAGGCATTGGGCAGCCAGATGGCTTAGGGGAAGACCGCCGCCACAGACGCACAGAGCTACGCGGCTGCACTGGGCGCGGCAGCCTCGCCCAGCCCTTAAAAGAACAAGGGCCAATCGCAGCCAGATCCCAACCGGATCCAGCGCCACAAGCGGCGGTGAAATTGCTTAAGTGCCCCTGGGGGGCTGGGCCGCAGGCCCCCCACCAGGTCGGGAAGGAATTTCGAACGGGCGCGAGCCTATCGAGTCGTGCAAGGCGCGCGCCACGTAGAGAACGTGGTGCCACCTCTCTTCAGGCGGCGGCCCCTCGCGGAAGAGCTGGTACATGTACACGGCCGCGTGCGATAGCGGCGGGAGCAGGGCGCGAGACTCCAAATCGGCACGCTGCGCGGCCTGCCTGGGGCAGCCACACACAGCATGGGCAATGTCCACCTGCGCAGCTCCGCAAGCAGCACAGCGGTCCAGAGTGACGGGGAGACACGGCGCGCCAAGGACTGGGAGGGGCCATGCCCCGGACATACGCGCAACGGACCACATGCGAAAGTCGCGCCACATATGTGGCCCAAAATCCAACTGAAGTAGGGCCATCGGTAGCTGGTTGGGCTCGGGGACGAGCACAGCAAAGGACATCCCGAGCGTGGGCAAACAGGCGCCGGTCGCGCGTTGGAACGCGGCCCGATCGCGCGCCCGCAGGGCCGGGCGAACCACCTGGAGTTTGAAGTCACGCAGCAGAGACCTACGCAACTGCAGAGAGCCCTGGGCGCCACGCAGAGGGTGGCGGAAAGCTGGGTGGACATCGATGTCCAGGACAGGTGGCGTGAGCTCTGCCATGCGGGCGGCGACGGCGCTCGCCCAGGAGGCGCGCGTGAGGCGGCGCGCCAGCGCGAGCATGCGGGTGCCGGGGTGGTCGGGAGGCTGCGCTAAAAGACGGGCGCGCGCCATGATTGCTCGCTCGAGCATCCGCGTGCCCAACCGGCACGTCCAGCCGCATTGCGCAACGACCACCTCGCCTGGCAGAGGGGGGCCAGTGGTGCACGCCAGGAGCCTCCTAGCCCACGCGGCCTGCATGCGATTCAACTCATACTCAGCCCGATGGGCCAAGAGCGGAAAAGGAGAAGGGTTAAGATAGCGCTCTCGACCCGGAGAGTGACCTGCGCAGAAAGGATCGGGGGGCCGAATCCGCCGCTCTCCCCAGCGTGGAAAAGCGCTTCAAACAACGCGTGGCCGCGGGCCAAAACAGAGCGGAGGAGGGGTTGAAAGGTGAGTTCGGCGTCAACGAGAACGCCAAGCACCAGCTTCTGATCCACGACGGGGCAGCCCACCCACCCGGGGTCGGGGCTACCAGCAACGGCCATGGCCGCTGTTTTACCAGAGGCGTAATTAAAGTCGGCACGGACAGCGCGGGCAAACCGGCTACACGCAGAATCTGGCTCGGCAGATACAACGGCGCGGAGGGCGCCTGGGGGCGGGCAAGGGACAATCAGATCGTCAGAGAACTGCAGTGGCTGCAAGTGCTCCGCACCCAGCGCGTCCTGGGCTGCGGCACGATCGGCTTCAGTGGCCCCTCCGCACGCCCACTCGGCCAGGTCCGCCGCGGCTCGAGCCCACGGCGCGCCCTCGCCCAGTGCCGTTGCGGAGACGCTAGTCGCGATCGCCGCGGCCGCGTTGACGGAGGGGGGTGAAGGGGGGCGGAGTGGAAAGGGAGGGGGAGGGCCCACGCCAACGGGACAAGCGCGCCGGTAGACCGGCGGAACCCAGGTTGCACAACCCTGCGGCAGGACAGCCATTACAGCATCAGCTAGCCACTCCACCTCGGCATTAAACACATACGCCGAAAAACGCTTACCTTGAGCGGTGCCGCAGGGCAGCCGAAAAAACTCAGACGCCAGCCCCTGGAGGGCTACAAACTGGATGTCCATCTGGATGAAATCATCCAACAGGAGCCACTCGTCCTCCACCACGCCAGCAAGATACGACGACAGGCGCATGGCATCATGCGAGGCCACGTCAAAGGCCCAGCGAAGGTCAGTAAGCGCCCAGTACGTGGGGGGCCCTTGAGCGCCGCGGAGCTGCGCGTGGAGCAGCAGCGCTAGCAACAAAAGCAAGGGGTCCCCGACCCCGCCCTGCTGGCCAGCGCCGCAATATAGCGTGAGCGCAGAGCGGTTGCGCTGTGTCCAGAGGGCGTCCACAACCGCAGACATGACAGTGGAGATCGAGATGGGCCGGCGACATCACGCACCACGCGGGGGCCCGACTTGTGAAGCGGTGTAAATTGCCTCGCGGACCAGCATGTGCTGGTGAGACCACAGGACCTAGAGATATTCGCCAACGCTAGCGTGAGGCGTCGGCCCTGCACGCATGGTGACTTAACGGAGGCGTAACAGCCACGTAGCGCGCTGGATGCCACTTTAAATGTCTCTAAAACGTCCGCAAGCTCAGCCATGGAGTAAAGGCGCCGGCGCCTGGTGGAGAGACCGGCTCCAGCACGAGCCGCGCCGCTCTGGCGAACGGCGGACACCGCCCGTGCGGTGACGAGGCATGCCTCACGGTCATGTGGAAAGTTGTTGGAGGCCCTCGCCTGCAGATCCTGCTCGATGGCTTGGAGCATCTCGTCGGCACTGAAACCCCGTCCCGTGGCAGGGTCGGCGAGTGCGATCTCAAACCTGTCTGGGCCAGCGAAGAAAGAGGACAGGAAGCGCTCCGCTGCCCCAGGGTTCAAAGCCCGAAGGTGGGGAAAACGCTGGGCCGCGCCCCTCCTAGCATCCCAGGCTGCCTGCGTGGCCGCTTTCTTAAAGGCCTGGTGATGAGAGAAATCCGCCGGGGCTGGCCCAACGGGCCGGCGTCGCTTGCGAGACGCCGCCGACGCCACCGCACGGGTGACCCCCGCAGCGTGGCCCGCAAGAGTGTATAGCACGTCACGTGACCACGCGGCCATGTCCAGGAGCACGCGGCGCTGGGCGACAGAGGCCTGGCCTCCGCTCCACGGAGGGCGGAGCCACGGCGCATGCACGCACAGCTCAACGGCAGACGCTGCAAATTGGAGAAGCGGCTCCACCGCGCTAAGGGCGTCATCCCACTGGGAATCAGCGCGCCAGCTAACTCGGCCAAAACCTACGTGAGCGGAGCGGTCACACTGGCACGGCATTGACCAGCACAGCAGGCGGTGGTCAGAGGCCACGGCCACGGCCTCCAGGACAGCAACGGAGATCTGTTGGCCCAAGTCCGCGAGGACAAGGTCAATGCACGTGCCAGAATCGTGCGTGGGCGCCGGCGGGTTGCACGCGATGAGCGAGGCAGCGCACAGCATCGCCTCGATATCGCGATCTTCCGGGGATTGGTGACAATGGCAGCAGCCGCGCCCTGGGCGGTGCGAAAGGACGTAGGACAGATGGATATTTGCATCCCCAGCGACGAGGAACGAGGCATGCGGAAAGCGCGAGCGCAATCGAGTGAGCTCACCAAGGATCGCGCTCCAGGTTTCCACGTCGCCGCCTGGCGCTGGGTAAACTGCGGCAAAAACAAGAGACGGCCCCGACGCGGCAGTAGTGCCGCTCGACGAGGTCCAAATCTCAAACCACTGCACCCGCGCAGACGAGACGTCAGGCAGCGGGCGGACTACCGGAAGCAGTTCGGGTCGCAAGAAGATCCCGACAGCGCCCCACGAAGCAGAGCGTTCGCCCAGCCAACAGTACGGGTACCCTGCCGGCAGCGCCGCACCCGGCAGGAATCGCGCACCGGGGGTGATGCAAATATCGATATTCTCATCGTGCAGAAGCTGCGCCATCGCCTGCAACCGCCAATCTAAGAGCGCGTCTGTGCCGAGGGCGAGCAAGCCAGACCGGCCCGGGTTTAAAACGGCCATGCGCAAGGGCTGCTGGCTTGACAACTCCAACGGCGGGCCCGCAGCTCCGGCGGCGTCGGCAGCCAGCACTGGGCCGCGAACGGCGAGATCACGAGCGGTGGGCCCCCGCGCGCAGGACGTAATGGGGGGGCGACCTTTTCGGCAAGGAAAGCTCGTAGCTGCCGGCCAAGAGCGATCAGAGGCCCAGCCTCGCGACTCCCCTGCGTGCGAAGCTGCCGTGGCGGCTCGGGGGCGCAAGCAAATCACGAAACGCCGCTCCCCTCTCCAGGCCCCTGGTTTCGACGCCGATCCAGCGGTTCACTAAGTCACGTAGCGGTGTCAGGGGGGCGTCGCCGCCCCCGGCGAACATGCCTCCGCCCCTGCGCGGGCGGCCTCTGGCGGTCTCGTAGAAATCAGATTTTAGCCTAGAACGCTAACCAAGGTGAGCACGTGGATTTCTGTACTCATATTCAGTGCTCGAGCTTTCTGTGCGCGGTTTCCATATCGAACTGTCTGTTTGACTTGGCTCGTGATCGAGCCCCAGGCATCCTGCCCCGAGGAAAGATACACTCTTCCTATCCTACACAGTTGAAGTTGATTATCGATATCATCTTACCCTCTCGGCAATCTCTCTTCGAGTCAACCTCGACGAGGCGACAAATCATTGGTAGTGCGGAGCTTGGTTGACTTGTTTATCTTGACTCAACGCTCTCAAGATGGCATCATCGAGCACTGGCCAAGGCATCGAGATTCAGAAGATCCCGACGTGGGACGGCAAAGCGGAGACCCTGGACGAGTACCAAGCGGAGGTGGAGCTGCTCACCCTGGCGACCAAGGAGGACGACAGGAAGCTGCTGGGACCTCGGCTGGTGCAGGCTCTCCCGAAGAACACCGCGCACAGGAAGCTGGCCCTGCGTCTGCCGCGGACGGAGGATACACCCGACACGATCGTGGGGGAAAAAGGCCCGGAAAACCTCTTGAGGGCCTTCCAGAAGAGTTTTGGGAAGCAAGCATCAAGCGATGTAGTGGACAAAGTGTTCGCCTACTATTACGATCGGAAAACGTCAGGCCCGAGAGTGAGGAAACTCGGGCAGACGATCGGCCTCTACGCGGAGCAGGAAGAAGATGCCTACCAGGAGATGGAGAAGAGCGTCCGGGCCATCTGTCCGGACATTGACGCGATCGACCTGATCCCCGACGAGCTTCGCGGGATCATCTTCCTCGTGAATGCGGGCCTCGACCCGAGCGAGCGCGCCACTGTGGTGGCGGGCCTCAACGACTGGTCCATCGAATCGGTGATCGACAAGCTGAAGAATGTATGGTCGGATAAGGACCTGGCCGCGAGGGACAACATCGTGGCGAGGCGCAGGGACCTGAGGATCCAGAGCACCCGTGACAGTCGTCGCGATCGTTCGAAGATCAATTACCAGGAGGACGAGGAAGAGGACGAGGCCTTCTTCGAGGGTACCAACGAGCTCGACGAGGAGGACGTCAACTACGAGGAGGAGGCCGCCGCCGAAGAGCAGATCGAGGAGCTGGAGGCCTACGCGGAGGACGCAGAGGTGTACGCGCAGGACGCCCACCGTACCTTCACGGAGGCTAAGAAGATGCTGGCGGAGGCGGCCAAGAACAGGAGCGGCTACTTCCCGGTGGTCGGGATCGGGCAGCTCCCTGAGAGGCAGCAGCAGCGCGACACGCAGAAGGCGGCGGCGACGGCGAAGGCGGCTTTGCGGCCCCCCAAGCCTCCAGGCCCACAGGGAGGGGAGCGCCGCGCTCCTCCCCCACCACAACCAGTGGGCCGCCGCCCGACTGGCAAGGGCAAGGGCCGCGGGATCAAGTGCCTGATATGCCAGGGCCCGCACCGTGCGGTGGACTGCCCGAAACGGCTCAGCACCGGAGTCGACGGCAACAACATGCAGATGGCCACAGGGCAGGTCGGCTTCGTGGACGTCGAGACCGACGAGACGAACTACAGCAACGAGGGCATCCCGCCGGATGATGGCCAGGCGGGCTGGGTACACGAGGAGATGGTCGGCTACGCGATTATCGACACCGGGGCCTCCAAGAGCATGATCGGCCTGGACCTCGCCTTGGCGATTCAGGACACGATCGTGGAGGAGACGGGCATCGACCAGGTCACGATGGACTACAGCAAGACGACGAAGTTCACCTACGCGGGCGGTGAGAAGGGCCAGTCCATCGGGAAGTTCGGGTTCGAGCATCCGGTGGCGCTCGTGGAAGACGATAACAAGCTGTGGTTCGACCTCGTGGAGACCAAGTCCCCGATGCTGCTCGGCCTCGACTACCTCGAGAAGTCTGCAGCTGACCTAGTCAAGGACAGGTTGGCGCTCGTCTACCCTGACGGCCACGAGGAGCCAGTGGTGAGGCTGTCCAGCTCTCACCACGCGCTGCCCGTCCTGTGAGGATGCCCAGCCGGAGGCCGAGACAACGCCGAAGGATTGGGAAGAGATAGAAGTTGTCAACTTTGTTCTCTCGTCGATCGTCGATCGCTCAGAGTCCCCTGGAAAGACCAGAGTCAGGATAACATGAAGATCACGCTCATTAATTCAAAAACCACTGCAATTCTCCAATGCAAAGATGTAAACAGCGTGCGGAAAATGAAAAGCCTCAATATGGGGACCTCCAGGGAGCCCAAGGTGAGGACCCAGGCCATACACGCACGAGACACTGCACTTCATGGAGTACGGCTACCACATGTACGAGATAGGTCATGTCCTGCAGTACGGCTACCACAGGCACGAGATAGGTCATGTCACCATGTACGGCTACAGCATGCACGGGATGGATCATGTCACAGAGTACGGCCACAGCATGCACAATATAGGTCATGTCACGCACACGTATTTGCAGCACGTCATGAGAACACTGAGCAGCACATGCCAGACATATGTCCACCGCCTCCGAAACCACTTTCGTCAAGCAGTTGCTCCGGGAGGAGCTTTCGTGATTTTAGCAAGCAGGATATTCATGAGCAGTCCGCAGGGGCCATGGGTATCATCCGAGGTCGAGATCTCGGACGAAGAGTTCGAGTGGGACCTGGTGGGCACGCCCAACGCAGAGGAGGGCTCTCCCTCCTCAGTGCCGCCCTCGTCGTCGGCTGCGCCTGCGGCGGAGGCAGACCCGCCCAATCCAGTTCTACGAGGACTTGAAGGGGCAAGCGATGGAGCTGTTCGCCGTGACCGACCCGGACACGAAGGAGGAACTGAGGGATCAGGCAGCCAGACAGGCTGCCAAGGACGGCTTGCTCGCGGAGACGGCTCGTCGAGCAAGGGCAGGAACGCTACCCATGTCCTGGAAGCACCTCCTCGCCGAGGCGGAGATCGCCTGGGCCAAGGATCAGGGTCGCAGCCTGCAGGTGGACGCCGAGGTCAGGGAGTTGCCGACGGTACCGAGAACCAAGAAGCGAGGGTCCAGACAGTCGGATTCGAAGCCCTCGGAGGTCTCTCCAGTGGGACCTCCGGAGAGCAAGGGGGCACCAGCTCCACGTCCGGAGCCAAAGACCCCTTTCTACAAGAAGCTCCCCTCGGACAAGAAGCAGAACGCCGAGACGACAGCCAGCAAGTCGAAGGACCCAGATCGCCCGTCGAAGACCATGGAGCAGATCGGACGCAATCGGTGGCAGCGGCTCGTGATGAGGATCCAGTCCCGCCTGCGCTGGTCCCAGCACGCCCAGCGGCTGAAGTGCGCGAAGAACGGGTGCCCCAAGAAGTTCACGGAGGCGAAGGGCTTTGGAGCTCACATCGGCAGGTGGAGCTGGCGGGAGATAAGCTACGAGTGGTAGGTCAGCTACCTCAGCGAGTCAGACACAAAGCGCTGCAAGCGGCCTCGAAGCTCGACCACCAGGGGATCCGGAAACTGTCAGCCATGGCCCGAGAGGGCCGAACTGACCTGCTGGAGATCTGTGTCCCGCCGGACAGCTCTCTGGGCAGCCAGGTGGAGAAGATGGGAGGAGTGGTCACGAGGATGGGCCTGTTCAACCTCTTCGACTTCTCCAAGAAGTCATCGGTGCTCAAGGCGAAAAAACTCATCAGCAGGGAGCGACCCCGCTGGGCCCACGCCTCCCCTCCGTGCTCGCCGTTCTCAGCACTACAAAACGGAAGGCCCAACACCGTCGAGTCCCAGGAGAAGCTGATGAAGGTCAGGAAGTGGGGTCGCAGAGTCATGAGGAACGTCCTGGAGGTGCTGATCTACGCGTGGCAGGAGTTTGGCACCGAGATTTCAGTGGAGCATCCCCTCACCGCGAGCTCCTGGAGAAGTATCCCGGAGCTGTTCGACGTGTGGCAGCAGTTGTACGAGACCATCAGCTACGGATGCGGCTGGGGTATGAGGAGCGACGTGACCGGAGAGTTGGTTCGCAAGGGCTGGAGGATCATCACCACCAACCAGAAGCTCGCCGACCGACTTCGGAGGAGGTGTACGCGTGACCACGAGCACACCGTGATCGAGACAGGCCTCGCCGATGTCGGGAAGACTGCCCGATATCCGATAGCGATGTGTCGAAAATGGACTGCGACCATCATGGAGGAGGATGCCCAGGACTACTTCGAGGTGCAGAGAGTATTCGCGACCGACGAGGAGGAGCTGAACCAGACGACTGCCTACGAGGACGACCTCACGAAGATAGATCCGAAGGTGGTCGACCTGGTCAAGAAGGAGCTCATGAGCATCCACGTCAACATGCACCACATGGGCCTCAATGCCATGCGCGCCTACCTCACTCGGAAGGGAGCTCAGCCCTGGGTTATCACGCTGGCAGGCCAGCTGAAGTGCAGCATCTGTGAGGCAACGGCTCGTCGGGAGCCGATGCCCGTGGCAGCCGGTCGCGAGGCGGAACCCTTGGACGTGCTCCAGATGGACGGCTTCGACTGGATCCACCCCGTCACCGAGACCAGAGCTCGAGGTACGATGATGGTCGACGAGGGCTCAGCTAAGGCCGTGCCAGTGATCCACACCACCGTGCCGAACAAAGGGAACACGGGCGAGACCTCGTCTGCGACGGT